ATGGTACTGAAGACACAGCTGTGAACCAGATAGATGTGGATTTTCCCCTGTCTGGGTTTCAAATTCTAGCAAGGGAGACAGAAAAAGTAAAGGGAAAGATAGAGTAGAATAAGACTTAAAATCTTTTTAAAAATTATTTGGACATTAGGTACGGGGGAGTGAGATGGGTCAGGATGGGCCATGCAAGTCCCTCTTGTATGATCTGCAGTAATCTCTTGACTGTTCTGTGCCCCAGTTCTTTCCTCTATAAGTAGAGCAAGAAACCAGCCCAGCTGCCGTTTGGGGGACCCTAAGTGTCTGTCCAGTTTACATAAAGCAGGTTATCACTTATTACCTCAAAATGTTTTGGGGACGCCAAGATGTTAACATGGCAAGTTTGGAGAAGGTATAGTGTTGGGTGGGGGCCCTCACCTGCATGGTGGTTCAGAGCCTGGGCTCTGCAGCCCAGATACTGGGGTTCGAATTTCAGCTCTGGCACTTCCTGGCTCTGTGACCGTGGGTGTCATCTCTAACCCCTTTGAATCTCAGTTTTTTCATCTGAAAAATACGGCATAATAATGCCTACTCCAGGTCACTGAGTGAGTTAATGCATGTAAAGGGTTGAGGACAGGGCATGGCCACAGTACCTCAATCCAGGTGTCAGCTCTGCTTCTGTCTTTGTCTTGCTGGTGCCTGTGCTTGGGTGTGTGGCCTCTGTCCTGTAAGATATGCCTGCATGGGTTTCAGGATGGGCCTGGAACTGCTGATGATACATGTTAACGTTCTTTTTCAGGTGTTTTCCAAAGTGGGAATGGTGAAGAGCTGCTCTATTTCCAAGAAGAAGAGCAAAGCAGGTATTCCATATGAAATCTGAATCAGAGAGAAATGATTCTAAAGGACACTGTGCAGCTTTGGGCACAGGGCTGGGGTAACTCTCACTTGTGCTGAAGGTCCTCTCATTCTGAAGCATTGTCACCCTCATACTCTCTCCTGTGGCCTGGCTAAAGTGGTCCCTCTCTGTTTCCCTGGAGACCCCTGTTTTTCAGTAGGAGCAGTCTTGCATATCAGGTTCTTCTGCATCTAGACCCTTCCCTGTCTTAGCCTGTCAGTGATGGTTTCGGACTAGTGCCCTTTGTGACACCATTCAGTAGCAGAAAACTCTGCCTCCTTTCAGCACCTCTGTGCTGGGGAGATTTCCTAGGAAATAGCAAGAAATGACCAATCTTGGTTATTCCCTCTTCCCTTCCACGGAAAATAACCAAGATGTAGAACTTCTGGAACATTCCACTAAGTCAGTCATTAGTCATGTACTTCCCTGGCCAGTGGGTACATGGGCCAGGCAGAGACCACCTCATCTCTCCATCCGGCCCTGGGTGTTGTCATGGGTCTCTTGGCCTCTACTTGGCTCTTCTCCAGCCCTGGCTCCTTGCAAAGGATGGGCAGGGACAAGTCCTTGCTTGTTCACAGACATGCAGTTCCCATCCTGAGTCCCTTCAATTTGGCAGGATTGTAGGGATGCCACATGAGTCAGGCAAAAACTATGTCCCCAGCACCTGCTATGTATAAAGGGCTGGGTGGCCAAGCCAAGGTGTCTTTTGTTCACTTATTCCTCAGACAGTTCCTGGGGCCTTCCAGCATTAGTTACGTAAGACTGAAGGAGACATGGTCCCTGCCCCCACATGCTCACCATCTAGTTGGAGAGACAGATGAGCTGGTGTTTGCAGCTCAGTGTGACAAGGAGTATGGACAGGAGCCCAGCACAGGATTCTCCATGTCAGGCAGAGGCTTGGAGGGTAGGGAGGCACAGCAGTCAGATGGTGGGAATGATGTGCAGAAGGGACAGCAGGGACTAAGCATGTTGAGGAAGAAGCAAGAGATGCGTCTAGAAAGATAGACAGACTCCACATCACAAAGTGGCTTTAATGCCAGGCAGAGGAGTTTGGAATTTCCCCCTGAGGTACTGGGGAGCCAAAGAGGGTTTTAAGCAGATAGGTGGCATGGAAGTTTGCTCAGGCTGCCATAACAAAGTACCACTGACTGGGTAGCTCAAACAACAGAAATTTATCTTGTAAAGGCTAGAAATCTGAAATCTAGGTGTTGGCAAGGGAGGTTTCTTTGGAAGCGGTGAGGGAAGATCTGCTCTAGGCCTCTCTCCTTGGTTTGTAGACGGCCATCTTCATGTTCA